ATCCTTGAAGGCACTTCCAGAGAGCATCGGCAATTTGAACTCTCTTGTGAAGTTGAATTTGGGTGATTGTCGATCCTTGGAGGCACTTCCAGAGAGCATCGGCAATTTGAACTCTCTTGTGGACTTGGATTTGTTTAGATGTCGATCCTTGAAGGCACTTCCAGAGAGCATCGGCAATTTGAACTCTCTTGTGAAGTTGAATTTGTATGGATGTCGATCCTTGGAGGCACTTCAAGAGAGTATCGGCAATTTGAATTCTCTTGTGGAGTTGAATTTGTCTGCATGTGTATCCTTGAAGGCACTTCGAGAGAGCATCGGCAATTTGAACTCTCTTGTGGACTTGGATTTGTATACATGTGGATCCTTGAAGGCACTTCCAGAGAGCATCGGCAATTTGAACTCTCTTGTGAAGTTGAATTTGGGATGTTGTCAATCCTCGGAGGCACCTCCAGCGAGTATCGGCAATTTGAATCCTCTCGAGGACTCGAATTCGTACGGACGCGTATCCTCGAAGGCACTTCCAGAGAGCATCGGCAATTTGAACTCTCTCGTGGACTTCGATTTGTATACATGTGGATCCTTGAAGGCACTTCCAGAAAGCATCGGCAATTTGAACTCTCTTGTGAAGTTGAATTTGGGAGATTGTCAATCCTTGGAGGCACTTCCAAAGAGCATCGGCAATTTGAACTCTCTTGTGGACTTGGATTTGTTTAGATGTCGATCCTTGAAGGCACTTCCAGAGAGCATCGGCAATTTGAATTCATTTGTGCAGTTGAGATTGTATGGATGTGGATCCTTGAAGGCACTTCCAGAGAGCATCCGCAATTTGAACTCTCTTGTGAAGTTGAATTTGAGAGATTGTCAATCCTTGGAGGCACTTCCAGAGAGCATCGACAATTTGAACTCTCTTGTGGACTTGGATTTGTATACATGTCGATCCTTGAAGGAACTTCCAGAGAGCATCGGCAATTTGAACTCTCTTGTGAAGTTGAATTTGTATGGATGTGGATCCTTGAAGGCACTTCCAGAGAGCATCGGCAATTTGAACTCTCTTGTGGACTTGGATTTGAATATATGTAGATCCTTGAAGGCACTTCCAAAGAGCATCGGCAATTTGAACTCTCTTGTGAAGTTGAATTTGGCAGTTTGTCAATCCTTGGAGGCACTTCCAGAGAGCATCGGCAATTTGAACTCTCTTGTGAAGTAGGATTTGAGAGTTTGTAAGTCCTTGAAGGCACTTCCAGAGAGCATTGGCAATTTGAACTCTCTTGTGAAGTTGAATTTGTATGGATGTCGATCCTTGGAGGCACTTCAAGAGAGTATCGGCAATTTGAATTCTCTTGTGGACTTGAATTTGTATGGATGTGTATCCTTGAAGGCACTTCCAGAGAGCATCGGCAATTTGAACTCTCTTGTGGACTTGTATTTGTATACATGTGGATCCTTGAAGGCACTTCCAGAGAGCATCGGCAATTTGAACTCTCTTGTGAAGTTGAATTTGGGAGTTTGTCAATCCTTGGAAGCACTTCTAGAGAGCATCGGCAATTTTAACTCTCTTGTGAAGTTGGATTTGAGAGTTTGTAAATCCTTGAAGGCACTTCCAGAGAGCATCGGCAATTTGAACTCTCTTGTGGACTTGGATTTGAATATATGTAGATCCTTGAAGGCACTTCCAAAGAGCATCGGCAATTTGAACTCTCTTGTGAAGTTGAATTTGAGAGATTGTCAATCCTTGGAGGCACTTCCAAAGAGCATCGGCAATTTGAACTCGCTTGTGGACTTGGATTTGTTTAGATGTCGATCCTTGAAGGCACTTCCAAAGAGCATCGGCAATTTGAACTCTCTTGTGAAGTTGAATTTGTATGGATGTCGATCCTTGGAGGCACTTCAAGAGAGTATCGGCAAGTTGAATTCTCTTGTGGAGTTGAATTTGTCTGCATGTGTATCCTTGAAGGCACTTCCAGATAGCATCGGCAATTTGAACTCTCTTGTGGACTTCGATTTGTATACATGTTGATCCTTGAATGCACTTCCAAAGAGCATCGGCAATTTGAACTCTCTTGTGAAGTTGAATTTGGGAGATTGTCAATCCTTGGAGGCACTTCCAAAGAGCATCGACAATTTGAACTCTCTTGTGGACTTGGATTTGTTTAGATGTCGATCCTTGAAGGCACTTCTAGAGAGCATCGGCAATTTGAATCCATTTGTGCAGTTGAGATTGTATGGATGTGGATCCTTGAAGGCACTTCCACAGAGCATCGGCAATTTGAACTCTCTTGTGAAGTTGAATTTGAGAGATTGTCAATCCTTGAAGGCACTTCCAGAGAGCATCGACAATTTGAACTCTCTTGTGGACTTGGATTTGTATACATGTCGATCCTTGAAGGCACTTCCAGAGAGCATCGGCAATTTGAACTCTCTTGTGAAGTTGAATTTGAGAGATTGTCAATCCTTGAAGGCACTTCCAAAGAGCATCGGCAATTTGAACTCTCTTGTGGACTTGGATTTGTATAGATGTCGATCCTTGAAGGCACTTCTAGAGAGCATCGGCAATTTGAACTCTCTTGTGGAGTTGAATTTGTATGGATGTCGATCCTTGAAGGCACTTCCAGAGAGCATCGGCCATTTGAACTCTCTTGTGGAGTTGAATTTGTCTGCATGTCGATCCTTGAAGGCACTTCCAGAGAGCATCGGCAATTTGAACTCTCTTGTGGACTTGAATTTGTATGGATGTGGATCCTTGAAGGCACTTCCAGAGAGCATCGACAATTTGAACTCTCTTGTGGACTTGGATTTGAATATATGTAGATCCTTGAAGGCACTTCCAAAGAGCATCTGCAATTTGAACTCTCTTGTGAAGTTGAATTTGGGAGTTTGTCAATCCTTAGAGGCACTTCCAGAGAGCATCGGCAATTTGAACTCTCTTGTGAAGTTGGATTTGAGAGTTTGTAAATCCTTGAAGGCACTTCCAAAGAGCATTGGCAATTTGAACTCTCTTGTGAAGTTGAATTTGTATGGATGTCGATCCTTGGAGGCACTTCCAGAGAGTATCGGCAATTTGAATTCTCTTGTGGAGTTGAATTTGTCTGCATGTGTATCCTTGAAGGCACTTCCAGATAGCATCGGCAATTTGAACTCTCTTGAGGACTTCGATTTGTATACATGTGGATCCTTGAATGCACTTCCAAAGAGCATCGGCAATTTGAACTCTCTTGTGAAGTTGAATTTGGGAGATTGTCAATCCTTGGAGGCGCTTCCGGGGAGCATCGACAATTTGAACTCTCTTGTGGACTTGGATTTGTTTAGATGTCGATCCTTGAAAGCACTTCCCGAGAGCATCGGCAGTTGGAATCCATTTGTGCAGTTGAGATTGTATGGATGTGGATCCTTGAAGGCACTTCCAGAGAGCATCGGCAATTTGAACTCTCTTGTGAAGTTGAATTTGAGAGATTGTCAATCCTTGGAGGCACTTCCAGAGAGCATCGACAATTTGAACTCTCTTGTGGACTTGGATTTGTATACATGTGGATCCTTGAAGGCACTTCGAGAGAGCATCGGCAATTTGAACTCTCTTGTGAAGTTGAATTTGTATGGATGTGGATCCTTGAAGGCACTTCTAGAGAGCATCGGCAATTTGAACTCTCTTGTGAAGTTGAATTTGTATGGATGTGGATCCTTGAAGGCACTTCCAGAGAGCATCGGCAATTTGAACTCTCTTGTGGACTTGGATTTGAATATATGTAGATCCTTGAAGGCACTTCCAAAGAGCATCGGTAATTTGAACTCTCCTATGAAGTTGAATTTGGGAGTTTGTCAATCCTTGGAGGCACTTCCAGAGAGCATCGGCAATTTGAACTCTCTTGTGAAGTTGGATTTGAGAGTTTGTAAATCCATGAAGGCACTTCCAGAGAGCATTGGCAATTTGAACTCTCTTGTGAAGTTGAATTTGTATGGATGTCGATCCTTGGAGGCACTTCCAAAGAGTATCGGCAATTTGAATTCTCTTGTGGACTTGAATTTGTATGGATGTGTATCCTTGAAGGCACTTCCAGAGAGCATTGGGAATTTGAACTCTCTTGTGGACTTGGATTTGTATACATGTGGATCCTTGAAGGCACTTCCAGAAAGCATCGGCAATTTGAACTCTCTTGTGAAGTTGAATTTGGGAGATTGTCAATCCTTGGAGGCACTTCCAAAGAGCATCGGCAATTTGAACTCTCTTGTGGACTTGGATTTGTTTAGATGTCCATCCTTGAAGGCACTTCCAGAGAGCATCGACAATTTGAACTCTCTAGTGGACTTGGATTTGTATTGTATTAGACGGATAGTCAACGGTCGTCTCAGCATCGGCAATATGAACT